TCCTGACAAAGATTCTGTAGCCTGACAAAGTCTCTATAGCGAGGTTTTGTCAGGGTACTCCCAGGTTTTGTCAATTTTGCCTCCAAATATGACTCCTCAAAGGTTTTTTTTTGTAGTTTTCGAGATATGACGTTTTTGTGATTTTAAAAAAAAATTTTCAACTTTAACTTTTGAATTCATAACCCTGTAGTCGGGGGCTGTCAGAGTACTCTCAGTGATTGCAAATCTTGGCTCTTCTAAATTTGACTGCTCCAATTTTGTTAGTTTACGAAAAGTGACGTTTTTTCTGATTTTTTCAAAAGTTGAAATTTCTCAAAGTGTGAATTACTCATCGCTGTAGTTGGGTACTGTAAGAGTACTCTTAGTTGCAAATCTTGCGTTCAATTGTGACTGATCAATTGCTTTGAGTTTCCGAGATGTGACTTTTCTTATTTCAAAGAACTTCACAAAATTTTATGGTTTTTCAAAATTTGAAGTAAACAACCCTGTAATTGGGTGCTGTCAGAGTACACTCAAAGGATACAGATCTTATTTCCAATATATGGGTTTTTTATGAATTGTTAAAAATTCGAAGCTCCGGAGGTGTGTTAAACGCTAGTTTACATTATTGTCTGTCTGTTTTATTTTTGTCGGCTTAGTTTCGCAGAAAAGCTTTTGTTTTCGAAGTATCATGGCTTTCGGCTTCTTTCTAGCATTCCGAAAGCTCTCGGTAAAGTTTCTAATGGTGCAGGCAATTTTGTTCCGAATGTTTTGGGCTTCTGTTGCAGTGTTTTTTGAGAAAAACTATTTTTTATAGTTTTTTTTTTCAATTTTATTTTGAATTTAATTGTAGTCATTCATATTTGTATCGATCGGTATTGTCGCGAAGACCAGCTTCGCCTCTGTGACACAATTTTTTGCAGCATAGTTACTCTGCGCCAAAACTTAATTTTCTTTCTAAATTCTGGAATGAGAGTGGCTCGGAAAGAATCTATAATGTATAATATATTTAAATGCGAGTGACATCTATCTCCCATGTTTAAGCATAATAATTTTGCATGTTTAACGGAAGAATTTTTTTCAGATTTAAGCTATAGCATATCTTGCAATGCTTAAAAAATTTTTCAATTAGTTTTTCGCAAGGTCAATAATTTTTCAGTGTTTTTTTTCGAGGCCAAATTAAGTCTGTCTGTCTGTCTGTCTGTATACCTGCTTTTTTAATTAATTTGATTATGTCTGTCTGCCTGTCGCCTTATTTTTTAACTTTCATCTATTATCTATCTATCTATCTATTATATATATAAATGCAGGCTTTACTATCTCGCCATGTTTAAGCTTTTTCAACGTATTATTTTTGCATGTTTAACAAAAGAATTTTTTTAAGTTAAGCTATATCGTATATTGCAATAGTTAAGGTTTTTTTTTCGATTTTCCAGTTTAAATTCAGTGTTTATTTCATCAAGTTTGAAATTAGCAACCCAATAGTAGGATATTGTCAGAGTTTTCCCAGGTTTTGCGATTCTGGCCTCCATATATGAATAACCAAATCCTTTTAGTTTACGAGATAGGCAATTTTCGAGATTTTTCAAAAATTTCTAGAAAAATCTATTATATTATTAAAGGCGGGCATCACTATCTCGCCATGTTTTGGCTTTTTCAACGTATAATTTTTGCATGTTTAACAAAAGAATTTTTTCTCGGTTAAGCTATATCGTATATTGCTATGGTTAAGATTTTTTTGGATTTTCCTGTTTTAATTTTATGTTTATTTCATCAATAGTGGGATGTCAGTTTTCCCAGGTTTTGCGATTCTGCCCTCCATATATGAATAACCAAATCCTTTTAAATTACGAGATTTCTCAATTTTAGAAATTCTCACCCGGTAGTTGGGTGCTGTCAGGGTACTCTCAGGGGTTGCGAATCTTGCCTCCAATTCTCACTTTTCAAATCCTTGTAGTTTTTTATGATTTGTTCAAAAAAATTCCAAAAAGTTGATCTCAATCCTGTTGTTGAATATTGTGGGGGTTTTCTCAGGGTTTGCGAATCTTGCCTTTGATTATGGCTGCTCAAATCCTTGTTAGTTTTCGAGATATGACGTTTTTTTTTTATATTTTCTCAAAAATTTTCAGAAACCTAGATATGAGAAATTACCATCTCTGTAGTCAGGCTCTGTCAAGGTACTCTTAGGAGTTAAGAACTTCGCAGCCAAATATGACTCCTCAAATCCTGGTAGTTTTCGAGATAGGACGTTTTTTATGATTTTTTCCGAAATTTTCTAAAAAAAACTTTTTTCTAAAACAGTTTAAAAATTCCAAACCTTGAAGATCTCAACCCTGTTATTGGAACCTGTGAGGGTAACCTGTGAGGGTAATCTCTTCTAAGGTGGTTGCAAATCTTTCATCTGAATGTGGCTGCTCTAATTTTTGTAGTTTTCGAGATCTGACGTTTTCTTAGGATTTTTTCAAAATTTTTCAGAAAACTTAGGTACAAAAAATTTCGCAAAACTTGAAAATCTCATCTCTGTAGTCAGGCTCTGTCAAGGTGCTCTTAGGAGTTAAGAACTTCGCTGCCAAATATGACTCCTCAAATCCTCGTAGTTTTCGAGATAGGACGTTTTTTATGATTTTTCCGAAATTTTCCAAAAAAAACTAAACAGTTAAAAAATTCCAAAACTTGAAGATCTCAACCCTGTTATTGGAACCTGCGAGGGTAGTCGCATGTCAGGGGGTTGCAAATCTTACCTTTGAATGTGGCTGCTCCAATTTTTGTAGTTATCGAGATCTGACGTTTTTTTAGGAAGATTAATTAGGTATAAAAAATCTCGCAAAACTTGAAATTCTCATCTCTGTAGTGAGGCTCTGTGAGGGTACTCTCAGGAGTTGCGAATTTTGCCTTCCAATAAGACTGCGAATTTTGCCTCCAAATAACACTGCTCAAATTCTTGCAGTTTTCCAGATACGACGTTTTTTGTGATTTTTCAAAAAAATTTTCATGAAAATTAATTTTTTTTTTTTTGAAAGTTTGAAGTTCCTAACCTGTATTTGGGGGCTGTCAGAGTAATCTCAGTGTTAGCAAAATCGGCCTTCAATTAAGAATGCCCAAATTATTTTTGTTTAAGAGATACGACGATTTTTGTGATTTTATTTTGGAAATTTTCAGAAAACTCAAGTTACAAAATAATTTGATAAAGTGAAATTCCCAACCCTGTAGTTGTGTACTTTCAAAAATTGCGACTATTACCATCAAAAAAGATTGCTCAAACTTTGGTAATTTTCGAGATGTGAATTTTTTCTGGTTTTCAAAAAAATCCTCTTTACAAAACTTCATGTGAAGTTTCTCAAAATTTGAATTTCCCAACGTTGTAGTTGGGTACTGAAACAGTACTCTCAGGAGTTGCCAATCTTGCGTCCAAATGTGACTGCTCAATTGCTTTCAGTTTCTCAGATGTGACGTTTCTTAGCTCATTTTAAATTTTTCGAAGAACTTCTATAAAACTTCACAAAATTTTATGGTTCTTCAAAATTAGTAGAAAAAACTTGACTGAAAAATTTTGCAAAATTTTTAATTACGAACCCTGTAATTGGGTGCTGTCAGAGTACACTCAAAGAATAGTTTTTTTCAGTTGTTGATAGCTGAAGCACCGGAGGTGCGGTACACGCTAGTAATGCCTAATTTTCATGTATCTGTTACCAACTGCACAGACGTTTTATTTAAATAGTAGTTACAAAACTGGCGAACTAAACTGTTAGCCCTGTATACTAACCATCTATATATCTTCCAAAATGCGTAACTATTACATAAACTTGTTTAAAATTGAATTAATGCATAGGATACTCAAATAGGCGCAAAAAGGGAGACATTTGAAGAGATCTGAAAGCAGAGTGTGAAATTGAAAAGTCAAGAAGTAGCTTTGTTGAAATTAAGTTGGTTGTTGTAATATACAATCAGGAATGTTGAGATTAAATACAATGAGGCAGTAGCGGATTAAGGGGGCGGACGCCCACCCCCTCAGTGATTCGACACCCTGCCGACCCAAAGGGTCCCCCTTTGTACTATTTTGAGATTTGCATTTTTGGCTGACTGACCTTAAAATTTTTCTAAAGGCGCCTTTGGCGCCAATCTATATTAATATTGAGGGGGAGCGCGCGCCAAAAAAACACAAACTTTTTGGTAGAAATTTTCCAAAAAAGCCTAAAAATGCCTTTTTATGGCCTTTTTTTCAAAAATTTGCGTTTATAGTGGTTTGGGAGAGCTCAGAAAATCAATTTGATCGACCTAAAAAAAAGATCGACAAAATTTTCAAAATTCTTCTGAAAATCTGCCCGTCCCCCATCGAGAAATTCCTAGATCCGCGCCTGCAATGAGGTATATGTGACACTGTTGGCTTCAAGAATACGATAGTACCCAGCAGAATGGTGATCCAAGCGGATGAATCGGTGGATGGATAGATAGATCAGAACAGGCTTCGGCTCTTTTACCGTTCCGTTCCTTCACCACTGATAAATATATGTTTTGTTGCGCGAACTTTCAATTTTAACAGGTAATAAATGAATACAAGGTGCTTGCTACCATCCAATACATGCCAAAGTCCAAAACAATTGTGAAATAGTAGCTTAAGTTTCATTTGGTAAAACAACAGGTGGGACTGGAAGGATTGGTAAAAGAGCCCAGGCTTCTAGCACCGTTTATGTAAACGATAGTTCGAATGCATCAACTGCTAAATTGACAAAACAAAAGGGACATTCCCTTGATAAAAAGGTGGGAATCATCTGTCCAAAGGGCAAAGGTTGCCATTAACAGGCATATGAAATGAAGTTTTGGAAATAATTTTTCTGTTAAAATTAGTAACTGATATAGTATATATTCAAATCCAACGCCTTCCTGGCCTTAAATTGGAAAAGGACATCAATTCTTTGAAAGCCGTTATAATGAAATAGATAAAACTAAGTGGCTACTCTTAAATGGGAGTTGTTTTTTTTTCGTGTACAACTATTTGCCTATTGAGGTGTGTTGTGTGTTAGACATCAGTGACGTGAGGTACGTTATCAATTTCGACTATCCTGGCTCGAGTGAGGATTACGTGCACCGGATAGGGAGGACGGCGAGGAGTGACAACAGTGGTACAGCCTACACATTCTTCACCCAGAAGAACTTCCACAAGGCAGCCGACCTCATCAAGGTACTGGAGGAGGCGAACCAGACTGTGCCGCCGCCACTCAGAGCAGTCCAGCATTACTCCAAGCCAGGCAGAGGTAACATCAATCAGCCCCCCCCCCCCAACATTACTCCGAAAAATTCCTTCAAATACCAAAATCCCACCTCACCCACAGGCAATAATACTAATGTATGCATGAATAAATAGAAAAATAGACAGCTTCATCTGAATAATTAGGAAGAAGATGGAGTGATTGGCATTCAAACTATAAAAGTTATAAATTTCTTAATTCTTGTAAATTAGAATCGACTTAGAACTAAATTTGGATAATTTTATAAGATGACCAGCCAACCACCTTTATTTCTACCGTACTTCGTTTTGCTTGCACATGCGATACGTACTTAGCGAAGCGCTCATGCAATTTTTTGAGGGTGAGTGAAGAGTAAAAGAGCCGAAACAATTGTGTATGGATTTTGAAAGGTTCACTTTGTGGCTCCGCTTTTGATACGATGCCCAGTAATCATATTATTGCTGGTTCTAATACAGTGCTGATTTAAATTAACCGGACAAAACGAGCTAAGCTTGAAATTTAAAACGCGTTTTTTTTCAAATTGGGTTAAGTTAAGGTGAAAGCTTATGAAGACAAAACTTGCTTAAAATTTTAGCAAAATTAATATGGTGTAATTTGTTTTGCGAAATTCGGGCCCAAATTTTTACCCCAAAAATGGGTCATTTTGGTTTTTCTTAGTTAATCAAAAATTACGCCAAAAATACCCACTCGATCACTGACATAATTATATCAAAGTGAGCCCCTTACGTAGCCCAACAAACTTTGAGAAGGGTATATTCTCCAAAACATTGTATAAATTAATTTATTTTTGCTTAAATAGACAAAAAAGGTCGTTTTTACTAAATAAAAACAACTTTTTATTTAAAAACAATTTTTAAACGGTTTGCAATTTTTTTTGGAGAATATACCCTTCTTACACTTTGTTGGGCTACGTAAGGGGCACACTTTGATCTAAGTATGTCTGTGATCTAGTGGGTATTTTTGGCGTAATTTTTGATTAACTAAGAAATCCAAAATGACCCATTTTTGTGGTAAAATTTTGGGCCCGAGTTTCGCAAAATAAATTACACCCTATTAATTCTGCTAAAATTTTAAGCAAGTTTTGTCTTCATAAGCTTTCACCTAAACTTAACCCAATTTGAGAAAAACGCGTTTTAAATTTTAAGTTTAACGCGTTTTGTCCGGTTAATTTAAATCAGCACTGTACGTTTGTAGCAATAATGAAATAAAACTAAATATAGTTTTATGTGCGCAGTAATTTACAAGGCGAGTTCTAGCAAGTTAGTCTGAGCTTAATGAGAGCTGGGTATATTCGCTTTTGTGAACATAATTTATTAAACTCCGGGTGGGACTGGTTGACTAAAGAAGCATATGTCAATTTTCCTATATCTGTTATTACTAATGCGATGTGTAGTATTATTACCAAGAATTGTTTTTCAACATAAGTCACAAATAAAAGTTCTCATTAGTGGCTCTATTGGTATATTTCAATTTGATTATACTAGCGAACCTTAGAGAGCGTTAGTGGTATAGTACGGCTATTCTTTTTTTTCTAACCTAAGCCGCAAATATTGTTACCACTTTTGGTGGCTTTTTGTTGGCATTGGGTTTGACATTCGAATAGTGATGAGTTCAGACAGTTGATGCATTTTTAATTCATTAAATGAACCGAAAAAAGCTACTGGTTCCAAGCATCACAGCAATCATAAAAATCGATTTCAAAAAATTTATAACTCAATATATCTCGCTATTTTTAAAATGTATAATTTCTATATAATGTGGTTTTGTTTTCCAATTTATTACATGCAAAAATAGTGTGGATGCCTTCAGTGTGATGCCTTTTATACTCCAAACTACTATTTGCAAAATTCTGTCTATTTGTATTTGGTGCAAGTTTTTGTTGGCATGTGTATCTGCTTTATTTGTGACTTGTGATAGCCGATTGTTTAGCATTCGTGGCCGAGATCACAAGGCGTGAGACTCCTATTCTCGAGGTCTTATGTTCAAAGCTAATACGTAACAAAAGGTTACTAATTCGAGGCTTAGTTGTACTGTTTTCTTTTTTTTTAATCATAAAGCTGATTTGTCGTGTTCTCGCTAGAGTTTGCAAAGCGCATCTTCGCCTCTGTTCCATATTTAAGCTTATTTAACCATAAAAAAAATTTAATAGCAAATGTTGATGCTTTATTTTTGGCTAGTGTTTGGTCCAGTTTGAGAAAACCTAACGCTAGCCAGTATTATGAAAGTGAATGTGATTTGTTGTCTTCCGTTCTTTGTGAATTTTTGAAAACTTGCACTTTTGCAGAATTTACTAGCGATTTGCAAAAAAATGGTACCTATGGAAAAACCGACTGTTTTTCTATGTACCCACATCTTCCGCTCATCTCTCCTCTTTTTATTTCACATTCTACGAACTTCGAAAGTTTCAGTAGAAGGATTTTTGGCCAATTTTTTTAAAAAATTTCTAAAAAACTTTTTCAATTTTTAAATGCACAAATCTGAGATGAAGGTTTTAATCAAAAGAAATTATGCCGATCTCCTCTTCTCAAGCGGCTATCCGTAAATTCGGTAGAAAAAAATCATGGCCTCAAAGAAGCTCCCTCTTTGACTTTTTGGTTAATTTTTAAAAGGTTTTGACTTTTCTCGAAAACTACCCGGCCAAGACGGAGGTTGAGGGCTTGACCGAAAGAAAAAAAAAATGGTTGGCCTTAGAAAATGTACAATTTTCGAACTTTTGCCCGTTTTTTGCTAACTTATTATTTTTCAAAAGCAAAACTGATTCTGAGGTTGAATATTCGTTCAAACTAACATGGTGCTTAGATTCTCCCTGCGTAATCTGCTTTACCGTTTTTTTTGTTGTAGAAAACCTGATGTTGACTTTGGAAAAACTCCTTATAAAATTTTTACCGCTTTTTGTTAATAATATTGTCACTATTCTTGAAAACTGGACAAATGACAGATTTGAAGTGCCTGCTTGTTTTGAATTGTTTGAATAATTGTAAATGATTTTCAAAGGGTCTTCGGCGTTTTGAAAACCACGCTTGGGTTTGTTTGCTGGTTACTGCAGCTTGGGATCGGTTGCGTATCTACTGACCGTTTAGCCCCGAATCAGTTCTACTGATGTTAAGGAGGCCTGATGTTAGGTAGAGATGGCGAACGGCTAGTAGAAGCAGTAACCATGAAGTGAACAAGTTTAAGTTTTGTTTTTAAAATCACATATGGGTGCCTACGACTAGCGAGTTTCAGAAATTTCGGGGGATTAAATTTGAACTTCTATCTTATTTAGACTGGTTTTAGATTGATTAATCTTTTAATATTGATGCAGAGCTGGGACCTTATGTCATAAACTTGTCTAAACTATGCCATTAATCTGCTGCATTTTGTTTTATTCAAATTTTAACAATTTTTTTTTCAATGTTTTCTTTTATGTTATCAATTATCATTATGATTTTTTTTACACTTTCGTTGAAGATCACAATTTTTTTTTTGATTTTATAAAACGGGCAGTGCTTTGTAACCAAATGGGTTCGTTAAGTGTCCCCTCACTGTTTCTGGTGCTTCATTTTAGTATTTTTATTTATGCATATGCTACCATTAACAGAGCAATAAATTCTTCGGTGATATGTTACTATAGGTGGTAATTTTAAGTACAGTGCAGGTATTAAGTTTGAGAACAATAATGCATAATATAGTCATTTCGATTTCAATCATTTGTACATGCTGTTAAGATAGTTTTTATGCTGTTACATGCTGTTAAGAAATACATTACGCTGCCAGATAAAATGTTATTGAAAAGTTCAAATTTTACACTTCTTTCACACTTCAAATTTGGCTTTTGAAAAAATTTATAAATACTGTGCGAATTATAACAAAAAACGATCCAGCTATTAGCTTAAAATTACCACCTATTGTTATATATCACCAATTCTTCTTCTTCTTAAGTAGCTACAACTTTTAATAAGACCCTACAAGGAAAAAAGCCTTCTTTCAAATTGCTTGCACCCACACGCAACATGACCTAGAGGCTAGGACTTTTTCTAGTCAACATTTTTAACCAATCAAGGAAACTTGTTACTCAATCTTTTCAATAAATGAATAAGAGATTTTGAATCAACGATTTCTCAGTTCCAACTTATAGCTAGTCAAAAATGAAAACCGTGATTAGTAGGTGGGAACTGAACAGTGCTGCCAATTTTTCTACTGAGGTTGCTGACGTGTTTCAGATCGAAGAAGCGGTGGCAGAGACGGAGGAGGTCGAGGGGGAGGAGGAGATAGGGATAGAGACAGCAGAGGGGACAGACCATCTGCTATGAGTGAGTGTACATTTTGTATCCATATTGGCTACCATATCGTTCAAAAGCATAAAATGAGAATAGAAAAGTTACTAGAGCCACAGGAATGCAGACTCGCATAATTGTTTTCAGATGCTTAGAATCTTCTGGTTGCTATGAACAAAACCGAATTGTTGATCTATTTGTTTAATGTTTGCAAAAAATTGGTGTTATCGCATCACATTGAAAAAATGAAAATAAACTGGGCGACATTGTCATGTGATTTTCAAAATGAGGCATGTTCCCAGAGGAGAAATGATAAATAATTTAAGTCAGTGGTGTATAAAGGGGAGTTTTGACTGCGCGATTATCCAATGTTGATTCTAACATTAAGCTAGTTTCCAATATGGCCTGCTGGTTGATGGATAAACTTGTTAACCAAATTTTTATTTCTGGGATTTTCTAAGATGATGTTTGCGGTCAAGGTTTTTGTTTACACAAGCTTAGCATAGTGTCATATTACGAACCCGGCTCATATAATTTTCCTGTACATAGCATATTTAATAGTGTTACTTTGTTTCGCCTATTTAACTTTTTGACCCTTCTAGAGCTAGCTAGTTTCAAGTGTAATGAACGTAGTGAGGACTCTTAAATAGGTTTTGCAGATTTTTTTGTTTGTTTTTTTTCGAAAAAAAAGTCTTAAAATAAAATTTGTTCACACTCAATTTTGATTTTTCGCGGTTTGACTTGTGATTTCTTTTTGAATGCATCTCCATTCTTAAAAGGAAGGCTAACTCCACTATCGAACAGCAAAAATGTGATAGACTTCTAATTTCAAAAATGGAAATTAATCAGATATCCGAGTGAAATGAAAGTTTTGCCTTTTGATCCAGTTTTCTCAAATTGAGTTAATTTTAACAAACAAGTTTCCATCATAAATTGTTTTCACATTTTTTTTTTATAATTATAAGCTTTTTGAAAAATAAAAGTCTGTTTTAGTTTCAGTTTCATTACATTCATTACTCTTTTCCAACTGTCAGTTGACTATGTTTATAACCTTTTGCTCGCTTGTTGACCAATATTATGACTATTTGTCTTTAAGTCTTAAATTATTCGTTTTTAGCGGCCAGAAATCATTTGTTATTACATCATCAGAATTGTGAGCAATTTATCATAATAACGTTTGCGATTCGCAAGCGCTATCAAATCGGAATATTGACTTTTTTGGGTTAACAGGTTCACCAAAATCACTGAATCATTTGTGCAGCCTTCAGATCTGCAGCACACATGTTAATTTTTTTATGAAAGTTCAAAGTTATCTACTATTTACGAAAACTTCTTGAAGGCTAAGGGCTGAGGCACCTGTTTTTTTTTTAAATTGAATATTTAGAATAAAAAAACTTCGTGCTATCAATTGTCTGCTTATGTTTTGGCGCTGTAGTTTCAACATTTCTTACCCCCTTTGCGCTTAATTTAATTGCAAATGAAAGTGTTTTTGATTTTTTTGTTACGCTTGCGATAAGCAAGGGTATTGCAATCGGGTAGTTATTTTTCCCCGTAAATAACTTGGTTCATGGAATGCTCAAAATTAGAAATGTAAATTTAGATTCAGTTCATATTAAGTTCAATAAAAAATTTTAGTGAAAGGTGGATGAAGGGGAGATTTTGACTGCGCGATTATCCAATGTTGATTTTAACATTAAGCTAGTTTTTCAATATGGCCTGTTGGTTAATGGATAAACTTGTTAACTAAGTTTTTATTTCTGGGATCTTCTGAGATGATGTTTGCGGTCAAGGTTTTTGTTTACACAAGCTAAGCATAGTGTCATATTACGAACCCTTCTTTTTTTCCGAACCCGGCTCATATAATTTTCCTGTACATAGCATATTTATTAGTGTTACCGTGTTTCGCCTATTTCACATTTTGACCCTTCTAGAGCTAGTTTCAAGTTTAATGAACGTAGTGAGGACTTTTATATAGGTCTTCCTGATTTTTTTGTTTTTTTTTCAGGAAAAAGTCTTAAAATAAAAATTGTTCGCGTTCAGTTTTGATTTTTTCGCGGTTTGACTTGTGATTTCTTTTTAAATGCATCTCTCTTATTAAAAGGAAGGCTAACTCCACTATCGAACAGCAAAAGTGTGATAGACTTCTTTTTTCAAAAATGGAAATTAATCAGATATCCCAGTGAAATAAAAGTTTTGCCTATTGATCCAGTTTTCTCAAATTGAGTTGATTTTAACAGTCAAGTTTCTATCATAATTTGTTTTACATTTTTTATATAATTTAAAGATTTTCGAAAAAAGCCAGTTTCAGTTTCATTGCATTCATTACTCTTTTCCAACTGTCAGTTGGCTATGTTTATTACAGTTTGCTCGCTTGTTGATCAATATTATGAATATTTGTCTTTAAGTCTTAAATTATTCTTTTTTTGCGGCCAGAAGTCATTTTTTATTAAATCATCAGAATTGTGAGCAATTTGCCATAATGACACCTGCGATTAGCAAGCGCTATCAAATCGGAAATATTGACTTTTTTGGGTTAAATGGCTCACCAAAATCACTGAATCATTTGTGCAGCCTTCAATTGAGCAGCACACACGTTCATTTTTTTGAAAGTTCAAAGTTAACTACTGGTTACGAAAACTACTTGAAGGCTAAGGGCTGAGGCTGGAATCCGGTCAGCACCTGTTTTTTTTTTTAAATTTTTGATATTTAGAATAAGAAAAACTTCGTGCTACCAGTTGTCTGCCGTAAGTTAGTGTTTTGTCGCCGTAGTTTCCACATTTCTTACCTTTTTTGCGCTCTCACTTAATTTCGATTTTTTTGTTACGCTTGCGATAAGCAAGGGTATTGCAATCGGGTAGTTTTTTTTCCCGTAAATAACTTACTTCATGGAATGATCAAAATTAGAAATGTAAATTTTAGATTCAGTACATATTAAATTCAATTTTCTGTGCGTCTCCTTCAGACTGCCTTAGTTGCCACATTATAAAGTTTTTTTTTCGATACGCAATTATTGTAGTTGCTCTTAGTGTTTTGATTTACTTCGTCTGTTGGTAATTTCGTTACTTGTCTGCCCAATTGATTTCGGCTGGTATTTGTTCGGCTTAGTGACATTATGTTGTTTCGTTTCTCGTGAAACTTAATTTTTACGCTTTCCTCTGGATGACACCAATTGCTAAATTCTCAAGAGAAATTATAGCTCCGGTATGCAGTCATTCTATTGAAAGCTAGATTTATGAACTGGAGAGTCCAAAAAGAGAAGAATTTGAAGAACATTGCTGTGTCTCGATACTATTGTCGGATGATCAGTACAAAGGAATTCATAGTAATGAATTGAAAATATTAGCATTATTAGAAGATAAGGAGATGCTATCATTAATGACGATAAAGGTTACTTAATGTCCGTAACATTGTTTAGCGTAGTTGTGAGCATTCATTTCGAGGGTAACTGAATGCCCAGTTGAAACCGCAGCCACACATGTACCTTGTATGGAAATATAGATTAGTGAAAGAGGTTGAGATAGTGGGCATTCTATTGAAAGCTAAATAGTGATCAAATGAAACCGCAACAACACAATTCGCTTTTTCTGTTAGTTTGTCGCACTGGAGACAGTCCCGTGAAATTGACAATAGCGCATCAATTTTTGTGGGACCCTCTTGATTTTGCATGCGTTTTTTGATATCATCAGATAATCATTTTTAATTTAACAGCTTGATTATTAATAATGAAGTTTGAAATACCAGTGACCGAAGTTAAACCCGTATCCAAAGCCGTTAGTAGGATCGGAATGATAGTCATTGCTTTCCAGTTTTCTTTGTGGAGTCTTAAATTGTGACAATGCGTTTTGCGTTTTGTTTGAAGAGTGATGAGGTGATTTATGAATTGGAGAATCCAAAAAGAGAAGAATTTGAAGAACATTGCTGTTTCTCGATACTATTGTCGGATGATAATTTCAAAGGCATTCATAGTAATGAAATGAAGAGAAGATTAGCGTTTGTAGATAAGGTAGAAAAGGGGAATCATGGTTTGTGATATTCTCAGTCGAGGTAGGAGATATCTTGTGCAATATTTTGTGCGATGAGTTTCGATGCTGCACAATTTGCAAAACAACGGGCTTGTATATGTATGTCCAACATGGGCATTTATTTACAGTTTCAGGTCGTTCCTTGTCAGAGATTTTATTTGGTTCTTGGTCTTCAGATCCGGAAATGCCTTTCTGACTATCTTGAATGTAGTCACTATAATAACAATCCGCCTGGTCAGCGAAACTCGATGTTTCGTGTTTGTTTTCGTTATTAGTGTAATATTTTTCCTTTTTTTTTCTGATGGCGGGATTAAGAATATATCTATCGTTTAAGTAGGGGTCGGCTGCTAAGTTTTGGCTGCTCTCTGCGTTGCTAGTATCTGATCAATTTGCAGTGATATGTCAAATTCCGGTGTCCTCATTTTAATTGCTTGCATTAGTTTAAATGGCTGAGGTTACACATTTTACCTTCTCGTCATTTTGGGTTCTTTCAATTTCAATTCTTCTGCGAAGGATAGAGCAGAGGTCTTCTTCAGTGACATTTTCGGGTTCTCGGAGTGGAACACGATTTTTCTTGTAGGACATTCCGCCAAGGATTTGCTCTCTTACTCCCCTCTTTCGCTCATCAGCTCGGAGTATTCCTGCGTTGTTGTCATCTAAAATAGCCAAGATTGCTAGACGATTCAAACCATTTAGAAAATCTACTGTATTTTCAGTTTCGGTTTTATATGTTCTTTTTCGCAATTCAACGTCATACTCTTTCAGTCAGGCCCTGCGTATCAGTTTCGCAATTGCTCCAAAGCTGGTTGAAGATTACTTCCTGCAGCTTCATCAGAATGTTAACAGAAGTTGACTGGTTTTTCATCTAGATGGAGATGTGAATAATGAGCTTGTGCATTTTGTGCTTCCGGTATGCGGGCAACAATGATACTTGCGCCGAGAAATACATCGGTTTCATTCCAGTTTTCGTTAGGGTGTTATGAGAACCTCTTAAGTAAAGTTTGAGGTGGGTTTGGATCAGCCATTGATAGTAATTGGTGCTAATAAGATGTAAGTGAAAAATATCTTCTGATTAAAACTGCAGTTGGTGATATTTCCTGTAAAATTGTGTCTATAGGTTTTTGATTTTGATATCTTCAATTTTTCGATGAATCACTTTTAGCTCTGATATACGGTCGTTGAAAAGCAAGCAGTTGCATTGGTAGAATGGTTTGTCTTATAACAACTTATTGGAACATTTGGTTAGTTAGTTGAAGAGCATCATCAGCTTTGAAAAGGTTTATAATGTTCTGGTTGCTCAGAGTTTTTGCCAGGAAGATTTGGTTCATTGCTTGGAGAACGTCGAATTCGGTGATTTCGAGGAGAATTTGCGTCAGGTATTGTGAAAAAACGAGGAACTTACGCGTTAAGGAAGCTATCGCCGTGATACAGGAGACTTCCGGGTTCATTTGTGATAACTTGTGCTAAGGTCAGAAATGTGGATAGGTCATGGATAGGCTTGTTCCGTTGAATGTGAAGGGGCTTTTGTTTATAAAAGTTTTTTTAAAGGGGATTTTAACAAATGGAACCCTAGGTTCTTGATAGCATTAATGAGTTTAGTGAGCTTGCGAATGAAAGCGTTACACGCGTTTTTTTGAATATGGAATGTGGAGTTGTAGGCTGTCGGCCATATATATTTTTTGAGTTAAAAATAAGAAGATCTGAAACCCTGTACTTTTCGAGGTTGGACCATTTTAGTTTTAAAAAAACTTCAAGTTTTTTTGTTCAATGTTTGAAGTAAAAAGCGTTGTTCGATCCCCCCCGTCTTTTGTTGTTGTATTTCATCCGTTGGTTTTAAATAAATTTTAAAAATGCCCATGAATGAAATCTGTTTGAAGCGCCGGAGTCTAATTAATTTTCATAAGATTTTATCGCTCTTTTGTTTAAATCGCATGATTGACAAATCATGTCATGAATAAATATGATTGAAAAATCACTAGCTCGTTTGAAAGCTAATTTATTCTTGCAATTCGATTAAAACTTTCAAGACTATTTTAAGTGTTAGAAATATAAATTTCACGTTGAATTTCTGACTTGAAAAACTAGACTTTTTGAAAAACATTTAGAGCAATCCAGATATCTTGAATAATTAAGAGACACAAAGTAGTGAAGTGAAGCCTTTAGATATTTAAGAACTTTGAATTTAGTTGAAATTCATCTGCTGAAAGTCAGGTAAATTGCGCTCTCCAAATACCAAGGTGGAAATAACGCAAAAAACATCAACGACTTGACTTAGTTTCGAAAGTGGGTTTCCGTTTTCAGATTTCCCAGCGCAATCAAAATGTTACCTTATGATCCAGTTTTGTCAAATTGAGTTAATATTCTGAATCAGTTCGTATTGAAATTTAAAGAATATTCAGGCCATATATTTGTTTACTTTGAAATTCGAAATTTCACCTTCAAAATTAAATCAGTTTTTCTTTTTGTTTACTTGCGTTCATTGACTCTATTCCAACTGTCTGTTGACTAGGTTTAAGAGTTGTTGATCGAAGTTTTCCCTGTGAAATAAAAACTTTATCTAATGATCGACTTTTGTCAAATTGAGTTAGTGTTCTCAATCAGTTCGTTTCGAATTTTTTAGAGAGTATTCAGGCCATATATTTGTTCATTTTGAAATTCGAAAGTTGACGTTTTCTCTAATTGTTTTTTTTTTGAAAAGGTGTCGATCTTAAATTGTATCTAATTTTTTTTTTTCGAAATTCGAAAGATTTTCTCGATAAGCAATTCAGTGTTTTTTCTGTTTAATTGCATTCATTGACTCTTTTCCAACTGTCTGTTGACGATGTTTTTTGAGTGTACGTAATACAGCCTTGGCATCAATTTTTTTTTTCAGAATTTAGTCAAACAATTGCTTAGCGCTTGACATTAAAGGTTCAGAAGTGTATATTACATTTGAGTTGCTTGCTGGACTTTAACCCGGGATCAAGCGATCCAAATAAGTTCTTTATTCAAAAATTCCTCGCTCTAGTTTTTTGGCTGAAAAACAAACATTTTATCGAACCAATTCATACAATGAAAGCAGCATAAAGGTTTCATAAATTTCATAGGGTTCGAGAATTTTTAATTTTTATAGGTCAAGTTATTCGTTTTGTTTTCCGTCTTCTTGAGCTCATCAACTCTCCAGCTATGTGTTCTAGTTGTTTTTTTTTGTCTTCTAGTAACTTTTGAATATAAGGTAAATAGTCAAATCGTAAGTCAAATATAAGTTAACCGAAGAATTAAGTTACTCTAAGTACGCTGTACTCTTTTCAAGTCAAAATGTGAAATGAAAATTGGCTTGTGTTCATACAACTAAGCTAAAGTTTAAAATCTATATCCATTTATGTTCAGGCCGTCACTCGAGCAGCTCCCACAGCAGACCCAGTGGGCCACCTCCTTCACATGGACACCACTACCCTAACCATTCATCTGCGTCAGGGGGAGGAGGGCGTGGCGGAGGGGGAGGGTACGGGGGATACAGGGGACCAGCAAACCGAACCTCGGCACCCGTTCCACCGCCGGGACCACCTCCTTCCCATCGACCGCAACCCCCAATCTACCACCACAATCCTCCACCCCCAGCTCCTCAGAATGTTGGAGGCTACTACGGTGGAGGACCCCCGCCCCAGTCCTCCCATCAAAGTTTTCCCCCCGCACACCCTCCAGCTACCCATTCCTATTACCCTGCGCCACCACCCGCCCAAAAATACGCGCCGACGGCCTCATATGGCTCTTATTGATAAGACGGGACGATAATACAACCACGATAAATTATTTGTCCGTAATTATTTGAAGTGTTTGCAATGCACTACAATGAGAACTCATTTCTTGAATAAAATGCACGATCGTCAAAACAAACAAATTGCACGATACGGATATCTGAGAAGTTCTTAAAAGTTTAATGCAATATTATTTATCGCTGAAGCTGAAGGTAAGTTTACCTTCTATTACCTTCTAATTTTTGTCCTCGTTGCAGTTTGTGTATCAATTAACTTTTGTTCCAATATTTTTCAACCAGTTGAGCTTTGCGTATTTTTCAGTTTGTTTTAGCCTCATTTTTGGCTCACAGAAATGGCACAAGAAACGAGTTTTTATCTTTCTGTTAAAAATCAAATACTTTAAATTTTGTTCAAAAAAATTAAAATTAGCAAAATCAGAAAATCAAAAGTAGCAGGGGCGGATTTACGCCGGGGGGGGGGGGGGGTGACGATCCGCTCCTCAGGAATTCGACCCCTGCCGACTCAAGAGGTCCCCCCTTCGTACTATTTCGAGATATCCGTTTTTGGTGACGGACCCTAAATGTTTCTGAAGGCGCCTTCGGCCTTAATATATACTATTTTTTTGGGGGGAGGGGGCGCCGAAAAAAGGCGATTTTTTGGTCAACATTTTCCAAAAACAGCATAAAATGCCTTCTTTAGCCTGTTTTTTTTTCAAAGTTTTGCCTGCTGCGCAGAAATTTTGGTAACAATAGGGTCTTTATAGTGATTTACGAAAGTCCATAAAATTGTCGAAAATTTTTGAAAATCTGCCCCCCCCTCTCGAGAAAATCCTAGAGCCGCCCCTGAAAAGTAGTATTATTAAGTGGTAATGAACGACGTGAATTTTCAATTGATAATGTCATGTGTCAGCTATGACTATTTGGAGCATCTAATAAAAGGTCCGTTATATCTAATCCTACATATAGCAAGCCCATTTAGCTCATCTGCTTGGATTTTCCCTGCGTTGTCATCTAAAATAGCTAAGCTTCCTAGACGATTCAAATCAGGTAGAAAATCTAGCACATTTTCAGTTTTGGATTTATAAATTCCATATCGCAATTCAAAGTCGTATTCTTTAAGTCAAGCCCTGCGTATCGATTTCGCAATTGCTCCAAAGCTTGTTCAAGATCATTTCCTGCAGCTTCACCAGATTTTTAATAGAAATTGAGTGCTTTTTCATCTAAATAGAGATGTAAGTAATGAACTTGCTGATTTTGTGCTTCTGGTATGCGGGCAACAGTGATACTTGCGCCGAGAAATACTTCGATTTGGTTCCAGTTTTCGTTAGGGTGGCCTGAGAATCTCAAGTAAAATTTGAGGTGGGTTTAGATCAGCCATTGATAGTAATTGGTGCTAATGAGATTATGGAAGAAGTTCCTCTGATGAAAACTGCAGTGGGTGATATTTCCTGTAAACTTCCTAACTTGCTGGAAATGTTAAGCTGGCTAAGGTTTATGTGCAAAAAAAAGATGAACTGGGGACAGAATCACGGCTGTACTGAAATTGTGTCTATACAAGATTTTGATTTTGTTATCTTCAACTTTTCGATCAATTATTTGTAGCTCAGCTATACGGCCGTTGATAAGCAATTATTTGCATTGGTAAAAATAATTTATCCAATAGCGACATGTTGGAATATTTTGTTAGTTAGTTGAAGAGCATCATCAACTTTGCAAAGGTACATAATGTGGTTCTGGTCGCTCAGAGTTTTTGTTACGAAGATTTGGTTCATAGCATGGGGAACGTCGAATTCGGTGATTTCGAGGAGAATAAGCGTCAAATATTGTAAAAAAACGAGGAACTTGAGCGTCAAGAAAGCTGTCGCTGTGATAGATGAGAACTCCGTGTTTATTTGTGATAACTATTCAGGCCATATATTTTTTTACTTTGAAATTCAAAATTTCACCTTCAAAATTAAATCAGTTTTTCTTTTTGTTTACTTGCGTTCATTGACTCTATTCCAACTGTCTGTTGACTAGGTTTAAGAGTTGTTGATCGTAGTTTTCCCTGTGAAATAAAAACTTTATCTAATGATCGACTTTTGTCAAATTGAGTTAGTGTTCTCAATCAGTTCGTTTCGAATTTTTTAGAGAGTATTCAGGCCATATATTTGTTCATTTTGAAATTCGAAAGTTGACGTTTTCTCTAATTGTTTTTTTTTGAAAAGGTGTCGATCTTAAATTGTATCTAATTATTTTTTTTCGAAATTCGAAAGATTTTCTCGATAAGCAATTGAGTGTTTTTTCTGTTTAATTGCATTCATTGACTCTTTTCCAACTGTCTGTTGACGATGTTTTTGAGTCTACGTAATACAGCCTTGGCATCAATTTTTTTTTTCAGAATTTAGTCAAACAATTGCTTAGCGCTTGACATTAAAGGTTCAGAAGTGTATATTACATTTGAGTTGCTTGCTGGACTTTAACCCAGGATCAAGTGATTCAAATAAGTTCTTTATTCAAAAACTCCTCGCTCTAGTTGTTTGGCTGAAAAACAAACATTTTATCGAACCAATTCATACAATGAAAGCAGCATAAAGGTTTCATAAATTTCATAGGGTTCGAGAATTTTTAATTTTTATAGGTCAAGTTATTCGTTTTGTTTTCCGTCTTCTTGAGTTCATCAACTCTCCAGCTATGTGTTCTAGTTGTTTTTTTTTGTCTTCTAGTAAATTTTGAATATAAGGTAAATAGTCAAATCGTAAGTCAAATATAAGTTAACCGAAGAATTAAGTTACTCTAAGTACGCTGTACTCTTTTCAAGTCAAAATGTGAAATGAAAATTGGCTTGTGTTCATACGACTAAGCTACAGTTTAAAATCTATATCCAATTATGTTCAGGCCGTCACTCGAGCAGCTCCCACAGCAGACCCAGTGGGCCACCTCCTTCACATGGACACCACTACCCTAACCATTCATCTGCGTCAGGGGGAGGAGGGCGTGGCGGAGGGGGAGGGTACGGGGGATACAGGGGACCAGCAAACCGAACCTCGGCACCCGTTCCACCGCCGGGACCACCTCCTTCCCATCGACCGCAACCCCCTATCTACCACCACAATCCTCCACCCCCAGCTCCTCAGAATGTTGGAGGCTACTACGGTGGAGGACCCCCGCCCCAGTCCTCCCATCAAAGTTTTCCCCCCGCACACCCTCCAGCTACCCATTCCTATTACCCTGCGCCACCACCCGCCCAAAAATACGCGCCGACGGCCTCATATGGCTCTTATTGATAAGACGGGACGATAATACAACCACGATAAATTATTTGTCCGTAATTATTTGAAGTGTTTGCAATGCACTACAATGAGAACTCATTTCTTGAATAAAATGCACGATCGTCATAACAAACAAATTGCACGATACGGATATCTGAGAAGTTCTTAAAAGTTTAATGCAATATTATTTATCGCTGAAGCTGAAGGTAAGTTTACCTTCTATTACCTTCTAATTTTTGTCCTCGTTGCAGTTTGTGTATCAATTAACTTTTGTTCCAATATTTTTCAACCAGTTGAGCTTTGCGTATTTTTCAGTTTGTTTTAGCCTCATTTTTGGCTCACAGAAATGGCACAAGAAACGAGTTTTTATCTTTCTGTTAAAAATCAAATACTTTAAATTTTGTTCAAAAAAATTAAAATTAGCAAAATCAGAAAATCAAAAGTAGCAGGGGCGGATTTACGCCGGGGGGGGGGGGGGTGACGATCCGCTCCTCAGGAATTCGACCCCCTGCCGACTCAAAAGGTCCCCCCTTCGTACTATTTCGAGATATCCGTTTTTGGTGACGGACCCTAAATGTTTCTGAAGGCGCCTTCGGCCTTAATATATACTATTTTTTTGGGGGGAGGGGGCGCCGAAAAAAGGCGATTTTTTGGTCAACATTTTCCAAAAACAGCATAAAATGCCTTCTTTAGCCTGTTTTTTTTTCAAAGTTTTGCCTGCTGCGCAGAAATTTTGGTAACAATAGGGTCTTTATAGTGATTTACGAAATTCCATAAAATTGTCGAAAATTTTTGAAAATCTGCCCCCCCTCGAGAAAATCCTAGAGCCGCCCCTGAAAAGTAGTATTATTAAGTGGTAATGAACGACGTGAATTTTCAATTGATAATGTCATGTGTCAGCTATGACTATTTGGAGCATCTAATAAAAGGTCCGTTATATCTAATCCTACATATAGCAAGCCCATTTAGCTCATCTGCTTGGATTTTCCCTGCGTTGTCATCTAAAATAGCTAAGCTTCCTAGACGATTCAAATCAGGTAGAAAATCTAGCACATTTTCAGCTTTGGATTTATAAATTCCATATCGCAATTCAAAGTCGTATTCTTTAAGTCAAGCCCTGCGTATCGATTTCGCAATTGCTCCAAAGCTTGTTCAAGATCATTTACTGCAGCTTCACCAGATTTTTAATAGAAATTGAGTGCTTTTTCATCTAAATAGAGATGTAAGTAATGAACTTGCTGATTTTGTGCTTCTGGTATGCGGGCAACAGTGATACTTGCGCCGAGAAATACTTCGATTTGGTTCCAGTTTTCGTTAGGGTGGCCTGAGAATCTCAAGTAAAATTTGAGGTGGGTTTAGATCAGCCATTGATAGTAATTGGTGCTAATGAGATTTATGGAAGAAGTTCCTCTGATGAAAACTGCAGTGGGTGATATTTCCTGTAAACTTCTTAACTTGCTGGAAATGTTAAGCTGGCTAAGGTTTATGTGCAAAAAAAAGATGAACTGGGGACAGAATCACGGCTGTACTGAAATTGTGTCTATACAAGATTTTGATTTTGATATCTTCAACTTTTCGATCAATTATTTGTAGCTCAGCTATACGGCCGTTGATAAGCAATTATTTGCATTGGTAAAAATAATTTATCCAATAGCGACATGTTGGAATATTTTGTTAGTTAGTTGAAGAGCATCATCAACTTTGCAAAGGTACATAATGTGGTTCTGGTCGCTCAGAGTTTTTGTTACGAAGATTTAGTTCATAGCATGGGGAACGTCGAATTCGGTGATTTCGAGGAGAATAAGCGTCAAATATTGTGAAAAAACGAGGAACTTGAGCGTCAAGAAAGCTGTCGCTGTGATAGATGAGAACTCCGTGTTTATTTGTGATAACTTGCCATGAGGTCAGAAATGTGGATAGGTCATGGATTGCTTGTTCCATTGAATGTGAAAGTTGATTCCAGTTGAGTTTTACCTTCTTGCCTAATGATGTTTTGGTAGAGAATCAAGAAGGGAAGCATGTGTCCGTGTCATAT